TATATATATATATATATATAGATATATATACATATATAGATATATATACATATATAGATACATACATCTATGTATGTACATACATACATCTATGTATGTATGCATACATACATACACACATCTGTCTGTATGTATGTGAACTAGCTGTTTATTGCTTAAGTTAGTGCTGTTTGCTGCTGAAGCGAGAGGATAAAAAATTTAATGAGAGAAAGCAAAAGCAAAAAGGGTAAAAAATTGTACTCTTTGAAATAAAGAACTCCCATCACCCTGTGTGATTGTGTGATTTAATTTATTATTTCTTGTTCTTGCATTGTATTGTTGCTCTTGTCGTCTTGATGATTTTTAACAATTAGTATCAGTGCCACATTATGACATACTATAGGTAAAGTGGAACAAATGACAATCAATGACAAGAAAACTAAGATTGGCAAGTTTGATGGAAAGAACTTCGATTACTTGAAGGTGCAAATTGAGGATTATTTTAAAAGAAGGGTCATAAGAGTTGTTTTCAGATCTTGCTAGTTTATCTCTCTTGAAAATGAAGCCTACCACAGTAACATAAGAGGATTCGGATCTCATGGATAGGTGTCAGAAGTTGTAAGCTTGTTTAAGAATGTTGTGTTCAGTGTGCCATGTGAGTTGATTACCACTACGAGTGATGAATGCTTTCTTTTTCATGTATTAGAAGCCATCTACTATGAATAAGGTATACCTAATGAGAATTTTTCAATCTTAGTATGATGGAAGGTGTTTTTCCAGCAGAACATGCCTCGTATTCGATAACTTTAATTTGATCATTAGTTAGCTTAGTTTGGTTGATAACTTGATCTTACCTAGACTCTAAAGTTTGCACATTCTTTCTATTATCATTCTACCCCTAAATAGGTTGGATCTTTTGTTGTCGTTGGCAATTTCTATAATATAACAAATATAAACTTCGCAACATTTGCGACCTAATTTTGAACATGTATCAGGAAATGTGAATAATGGAAAAGTATTTCTTTGATGTCATGTGAAATTCTATATATTGGGCTCAGACATGTGTTTTCCAATTTATTTTTTGACTTACTAAATTTTTTAATATTTTTTAAAAACTAAAAATATGCATGATGAGTGAAGAAAAAGTTTAATGGTTCCTATTTTTAAAGAATAAAAAGGATGCGAAACAACATTCAAATTAGAGAGGAATTAAGTTAATGTGTTTGGAATTAAAAATTATGGGAGAAAGTAATTGAACATAAGTTACAATGTGATACAAAAATTTCTCAAAATCATTTCAAAATCATTTTGGATTCTTTGGATTCATGTCTGGCAACTCTACTATGGAAGCTATATATTAATTGGAGGTTTGATGGAGAAGTATAAAGGCAGTAAGGAGGATCTGCATATGATCTTTTCTTGATTTAGAAAAAGTTTATGATAAGTTTCCAAGGGAAGTGCTTGAAGAGTTCTAGAAAAGATAAGTGTTGTTATTTCTTATGTTAAATTCATCACACACACACTAGTGTTGTTACTTTAGTTCAAACATCAGGGGGATTGGCAACCCACATCTTTTTGCATTAATTATGGATATTCTTACTGGACATTTACAGGAGGATGTACCTCGGTATATGTTTTTCGCTGATGATATTCTTATGGATAAGACTAGAGAGAAATTTTAGGAAAAACTTGAATTATGGAGATCAATTTTAGAGTCTAAAGGCTTTTTTCTTAGAGGATCTAAATTGAATACATGGAATGTAATTTTAGTACTATTAGATCTAATGGCAGAGTTGTAATAATGGGTGATCAATTCATTAAAAGGAGTGAACATCTTAGATACACCGAGTCTATTGTTCATAGTGATGGTGGTATAGGTGGGGATGCTATCAGTACAATGCAAGTTGGATGGTTGAAGTAGAAGAATGCATCAAGCCCATTGTGTGATAGAAAAATACTGCTTAAACTTGAAGGAAAAGTTTATAAGATGGTGGTGAAACCTCCCATAGTTTATTAAGCAGAATGTTTGCCTGTATAAGAGAAGCATAAAATCAAGTTAAGTGCCGCTGAGATGAGAATGCTTAGGCATATGGGTGGCTTTACACTTAGAGAAAAAATGCGAAATGAATATATCCATGAGGGGGTTGGAGTAGCTCTAGTGTTAAACAAGATTAGAGAGATTTGCGTTAAATGATTTGATCACATTAAATTTCACCATCTAATGACCCTATTAGGAGAGTTGGGGTTTTAGATTTGGCTTATGTTAAAAAAGTTAGAGGTAGACCTAAAAAAACTTGGGCATGTCATGTAAATTTTTTTTTAATTTATTAGAATTAGAGAAAATTCAACACTCAAATAGGACACAGTGGAGAAAAAAAGATTCATGTAATTGATCCCACTTAATTGGGTAAAGGCTTATTGTTGTTGTTGTTGTTGGACAATCTTCAGAGTCCCATATCACATGATACTGTTATACTAAAGCTGTCATTATCTTTTGCATGTTTACATGAATGCATATATTGATCTTTTTTTTAATATATTGTTAGTTTTGGGAGATGCTCATGAATTCATCATGTTTTTCTTTGTAATCAGCCTAAGTTCTTCTCAGGTAGTTTCATGATTTAAATTAAACAGTTTCAGTTTGTTATCATTGGTTGTGTATAATTCAGTGCTTGCGCAATAATTAATGCTTTTTTTTTTGTTTATTGTTCTTTAGAGATTAACGAGACAGGACTTTTTGAGTTGAGGTCTGCACAGCTCTTATATCGTCTTTCTGACGAGGTATACATTTTAATACTCACCCCATAATTGATATTGTGCAGCTGAGGTATAAAAAAGGAGTATATTGTAATATCTGTTGAATGAATGCTCAAACCTGATTTTAAATTTCTCTGTGTCTCGACTATTACAAATTGAGGGTTAGAATATAATGCAAATTTAAATAAAAGGTGAATTCAAATAAACTATTATAGGCTTATGTATCTGCGGTTACATATTCAAAGAAAGGATGAATTGTTTGATTTTGTTGCCTTGACGATTACAAAATATTGACATATATGGACAAGTTCAATGATTAAGTTTCAAAATGGCTTCCGGTTATTTGTTTGTGATCAATTTAGTCCCAGAGTATCTCATTTCTCAGCCATTATAATATATAAAATTGACTCAAAATAATCCCCTCATTGTAGTATTTTGATACAAAATTGACTCCAATTTAGCTTCCTGATTTTATAAAACTGATACCAATTTAGTTCAAAATGGCAGTTTTATATTAATTTTGTAGAGTCAAGAGACTAAGTTGGAGATGTGATACTCAAATACTAAATTAGCTTCATATAAATAGTCTGCGATTTATTGGGGACTTTAACCCAAAAGTTAAATAAATTGACAGCACTGATGATCATATTTCTTGTAGATTGCTGCCGAAATGTTTAGAGAACACACCAGAAAACTAGCAGAGGAAAACATCTCCACTGCACTTGATCTCTTGAAATCTCGAATACAAGCGGGGTATGAATTGTATTTTTTTTTCTTTATTTAGTTCGACTTTTAGCACCCTTCCTAGTGGGATAAAGGCTTGTTGTTGCTGTTGTTGTTCGACTTTTAGCTAATGCTGATCTTTTAATTGAGCTCAGTATTTTGACCAAATCTTCTTATATTATGTTAACGTTACAAACTTATCTCTTCATATCAACAAATTTAGTCTGTTATATTTTAGTTCAGTATCCACAACTCTTGCTTATTCTCTTTTGACACTAATTTGTTACCAATTCCTTTCTAATGGAAATTCCTTGGTGCCTATTTCTTCAGTACTAGCATGAAGTAATCTTAATGCTGTAAGAAGGTCTTTTGATAATCATGCAATATTTTGTTTTGATTGAGCACTTTAACGTCGACATATTATGCAAATTAATGGTCAATAAAAGGAAAGAAAAGGAGTAAACAAATGTTGAATATTGTTGCTAGAGAGGCACTCTTGAGTGATCTATGATATATGTCAGAAATTGTTCTGGAATTTGCGTTGAACGTAAATATTAAATATACATGGTTCATATGAAACATATATATTGTTTGTGGTTGAACTGAGAAGGTTAATCTGGATTTTACATAACCTTGGAAGATGATGTTGATATCAAGAGAAATCTTGGAGTTGCGTCTATGGAATATAAGTTAGTGGGAATAACTGGACTATTTTGGGGATGAACAAGGATAAAGTGTTATCAGTGAAGGTCTAATAAGTCACAAAGGAAGATGGTTAGCATACAAATATTATGGTTTGAATCCTTTGAGTAAATCTATAACAATCCTTTCTTTTATGAGGATTTGGCTTTCAGGCCGCATCCCCAGCCGTAAGAAAACTTTATCTTGTTCAGCTTTTTACAATATGAATCACAAAGACCGATTTATATGACTGACCTTGGATGAGTCTTATAAATCATCATTATCACCACCATTAGTTTTATTAATACTATGAGGTCAGCATGGATTATTCTTATCCAGTGATGTTACTAACATACTATGAACTATTAGGTTATTAGCTCTGTGCTTGCTAGCTTGATTTATCAGAATGAGTGTTATGCCAAGCGGTGCCAGGGATCTGATGTGTTACTTTCTACAATGGATAACTTTGCTTGCAAATCACGATTGTGGTGTTTGTATATTTGTTTGTGGTTCCCTCAATTGCTGGTAAAAAGTTAACATATGAATTTATGGCTCTATCATTCTATGACAAGCTATGGAACAGCCGTTTTGAACTCTGTACTATGCATGCTCTAAAGTATTCGACCTGTTGATGATATAGAACAAATAGTTTGACTTCATGTGCATTATGAGCTCCAAGAATATTAGGTACAATCAGTTGACGTGGAGATATCTAAACTTTTTTTTGAAACTCTATATAAGATAAATTGTTCGTGCTATTACAAAATTTTTGCAAATTGTTCGTCGTAATCACTTGAGCAGATTTCTGGACTGACATATATGATTTTTGTTAATTACCATGCATAACTTCCATTTGGTTGATCCCTTGTGTGTTGAAAAAAATCTTATGAATATATTAGGCCACCCAAAAGCTAATGCATAACTTCCTAGGTGGCTACTTTAGGGAGGATAGAAAGTAAGGTTTGATTTAGAACCTTTGAGAGCCTAATTGCTATCTTTTCTTCTTTTCAAACTTTGTATTCTTTTTAAATTTTTGGCATGAAGACGTTCTACAATTATTTTTTTTAGTGAAATCAAGTATTTTTTGGTCTGAGCTTGTGTTTTGCTGTTGTCTTGTATTTCCTGAGAAAGGGAAGCTTGGAAGGCTAGAATCAAGGGAGTTCTTGAATCCTACCAAATCGACTTTAGCTTGCGGCTCGTTAAAATTAGACTCAGGGAGATTTCAAAATAGGAGAATATTAATAAAGTAGTTATTTACACTTAGGGATAAGAGGCTAGGTTAGAATGAAAATGAGAGGACAATTTAAGGCATGAGTGGAGATACCAAAATGGTTAGACAATGAAAGTTAACTAGGATGGACAAATTGGTTACGCAAAGGAGGTCTGAGTCGGCTTGCTAAGGTAGGTATGTTGGAAGCATCGGATCTGCCATATGATTGACGTGCATGATGCATACTGTGACTTGATTGCTTGATCTCTTTGATGTTTGAGAAGGTTGGGGAAGCAAAGTGATGTGTTTTAGGTCACCGTTTAGCTCTTATAAATGTGACGACACAGTGCGGCTATAGAAAGCATACTGGGTTGAGATATTCACCTTGAAAACTTTGACCTCTCTTTCTTCATTCTTTTGTATTTTTTTCCTCTGCATTTTGAGAGTTCTTCCAGTGCTATAAGAAGATGATTGTCGAATTGTAGGTTGCTGAGTACACCCTAGTTTCATCTGTATGGATTTTCAAGGGAGCATGCTTTCGCTCTCCAAGCTGTGATGGAGTTGAAGAAGAGCATGGTGAAGCATAAGGTCTTTACCTACATGAGTTTCTCTTATCAGAGGAGGGGGAAGGCCATAAAAATTTACTTGAATAAGTTATCTTTGTAATTGAATTGCCTACTGGTTGTTGAGGGTTAGGAAGGTGGCGTAGTTCTGGAAAAGACAGTTCTCAACCAGAAAAAATAATGCTGAGGTTTCCATGGGGCCGTACAACAAGTAGATCTTTGGAGGATAATGTGTGAAGGCTGTCTAGATTGATGGCAACAAGGGAGAAGGGTGGAAACGGCGGCGATTGCAGTGAGAACACAACTGAAAGCTGGCCGGCGGCTGGCCAATAGGTTGTGTAGGCTGCGTGGAAGGCTGGGCAGGGGGCCACAGTCCATTGTGGGGGGGGG